AAAAAAAAAAATTGTCTATATCTTATTTCGGGTATTCTACCTATACAAACGTAATATAATAATATAATATAATACGTAATAATATATACATACAAATTTATAACCATTTCAATAGTTAAATAACAATTAAATACTTTGGGAGGATTTTAATCCTTTTGATTTCGAATGATTTTTTTTCAGACGTCATTCTTTCTAATTATTTTACAATTAAGTTTGGTTTTCTGCAGAACTCTCAAAGTTCCAAAATTACTCAAAAACTTATAATTATATTATATAATATCATGCATAAATTAAAAAAATTTTATTTAAATATATTCGCGTATATCGAAATAAACAGTGATATTAGGTAAAAAAAAAAAAAAAAAAAAAAAAAAAAAAAAAAAAAAAAAAAAAAAAAAAAAAAAAAAAAACAAGTAATATACATATAAAAAAATAAATAAAATAATAATCACATAGATTACCGATACGTATTAATATTTAACTTTATTTAACAATTTAAAAATTAATAATGAAATGTTAAAATAAAGTTAAATTCCATTAAAATTCGTAAAATGAATTTTATTATTAAAATTTTAAGATTATAAGATAAATGTTAAAATTAATATTAATAATGATCTTTTCTTTCTTTTACAAATTTATATATATATATATATATATATATGATGAATATATAAGAGAAACCATTTTTATTTGTTAGTTTTTCAATAATTTCATGATTTTCAGTTAATGCAAATTCAGTTAGAAAAGTAAAATGTCAATTTTATCTTATCGATAAAAATATGCGTAAACATTTTCGAAATATAAAATTTATATTTAATATTCACATAAATTGAATGTTTCTCTACTTACTCATTTTTGCTCGTTAGAAAAACTTAATATTTTACATTATATAGCTTGATATTACGTTAATAACGAAATGGAGGTAAATTGTATATTCTTATGCCAAGCAATTTGTTAAATATTTTTATAATCTTCATTCGTAAGACAATTACATTCTTATATGATTGACCGAAATCATTTAAAATTATATGACATCTTATTTACATCCTAAGGTAGTATAAAATCTAAGTAAATTTGTAGCTTTCGATCAATTACATCTTCAATTAAGTGACTTTTTTTTATAAATATTTTTTTGAACTTTATTAAATGATCATTTTAATGGAGAAGGGAAAAATAATGAAAAATTAAATAAAAAAAGTTTGGTTTACAATTAAAAGCAAATTAAAAGAGAAAATAAAATATTTAAAGATACAGCATAGTTTATTGTAACAATCACTGAAGTGTTATTATATTTCATATAATAATTTAAATTATCGTATGGGTGTCAATTAATGTTTATTATTTTGTTTAATTGTTTACAAATATTTGTCCCAATAATAATAATTGTCCCAAATAATAATAATCGAAACTTATTGCATAAGTATTATCTCTTACGTATGCATTCGAATCTTATAATTCTCGAATGAGTGAAACGAATGAAAGATAATGCTTGAAATAAATACATTATAAACTAATATCTGTATATTTTTAAAAATTAATGCTAAATTATTACGAAATATTTATTGTTTCTATTTATTACAAAGTATGTACCGCTGAATAATGTAATTTGTTCTATACGCGTATGCGCATACGCCGACGTATGATGATAAATTATTATTCTAAATTTATTTATTTATTATCTATACACGAAAGGAGCGAAGTCGTTGAAATTAATGTATTTTCATCTTAAAAAAAGTATAATTTTCACTTCATAAATTAATAATTCATCAGAAATCGATAACTTTTTGGAAAAAAAATACAATAGGTCTTCAATGATAAGTAAATCGCCAATATTCAATTAACTGTGACTTCAGAATGTATTCAAAAGTGGCTGCTCCCAATGAATGAGCAATGAACTTGTAAAAAGCATCGTATGCCCTTCCGATCAAGAAGCCCGATTGGAAAAATTCACGAAGCGCCACGAGCAAGAACTGTTCCGACTCTCATTGTTGCAGCTCGATACGCAGAGCGCAACGTACGAACTTTCTTCGAGTACGCATTATCCATACTATGAAGTGTCTCTTTCTGTCTCTCTCTCTCTCTCTCTCTCTCTCTCTCTCTCTCTCTCTCAGCCTGTAACGATTCCTTCGCGCTCGGTGGGACGAAGCCGGAAGCGAAGTCAGAACGGCGGAACCCAAGGCTCGTTCAACGGAAAGTCCGAGACTTTCAATACGCTCGGGCTGCTTCTAAGACAGCAGTAGTGTCCGTTCCTCCGACCCTGACGCTTCCATTACTTTTTTCACACACGCGCGCGCGTCAATTTTAGTTCGAATCTAAGCGGCATTAAAATGGGATAGAAGGAGCACGAAGCTGCCAGAGTATCCGCGAGTAACCGTTAAGAAAGTCCTTTTTACGTGTGATATGGCCACTACCGTACGCAGAGTCAAACAAGAGAATCGACTGAGACGACAGAATCAAATTATCCAAGGTAGTTCCTAGTGCGTGCGTGGGTGCGCATGCATACGAAAAACTGCTATATCTCGAACTTCTTGAATTTCACCTTCGCATGATTATCACAGTGAGTGTGACCAATCGCAAAAAAACCAACTTCCTTTATCACGCTGTTTCTACAAAGTTCCATTATTTCTTCGCACTATCCTTATTGAATGCTAGGGAAGCTTAGAGTCTTAAGCAACTGTGACAAATGTATGATAGATGATGATACAGTATTGTTCCATCAGGCAGATTTCATTATTTGGAGAAGCTCTCCAAGCTCGGGTATACAAGCTGTATCAAGCTCATTATTCTTAACACAATAGATAACACAGTAATGTTTAATTTTTTTATTTATTTATATTATTTTTTTTTTTTAATATTATTTATTTATAGACTGTAATTACGTAACACATAATGAATAATAATAAATATGCCATTTTTTATTGATAATATAAACGAACTCTGTATTGAGAATATTTTTCGCTTTTACACTAAATCCCTAACTTCTATTCTAAACAAATTATCTTAAAATCTTACGCTTACTTTTATTTACTTCAACGACTAAGTTTATCCGATCAATAATTCAAGTATTTTATCGATAAACTTGTGGCGAAAGAATTCACTATTAAATATCGCTATAATGCATAAAAGTTATTGTTCTCAGGTATTATGAAATAACTGAAATAATAATGTTACTATTATAATAATAAACATCGATCATAAATTATGTAATTATTTGTAATACGTCGTTAATTATTCAACATATGCATATGGATAATAATAATATTAATATATTTAAATTTATATACAATGTATTATGTTCATCGATGATTCATACAGAATATATATTTAAAACATTGATAAATAAATAAAAATGTGTTAAAACCTTAATAAAAAGACTTGATATTTCATACAATTACGTATATGAAAATTATAAATATAAAAAATTATGAATTCACTTTATAGGTACTATAAATTATCGATACACGGTTAATATAAATAATTAAAATAACAAAATCTCTACGTAATATAGAGGATTTGATACAATTGCAATAATACTTTATTTATTCTTCTTTAGATAAGAATAATAATATTATAAATTTAATTCATTATTTTTTGCGGTTTGAATTTGAATTGCTATAGAATTTTTATGGACATTTTTATAATTATGTATAATTATTAGATGTCATGGTACGAGATGAAATTATATATTAAACGAATAATATATATTTAGAGACACAAGGTATAATGAATGAATTTAATTTATATAATTAAATTTCGAATACCAGTATGATAAATTAATTGATGTATTGAAAATTAGACGACGATAGAGATAATATAAGTTTGTGTATTACATCAATATGCTTCACAGATTCTTAATCTATCACAATCACGTATTCATTTTATATCTCTGTAAGTCTCTTTACTCTTTAGCATTTCATCATTATGAATTATCAGTTTATTGATGCTTTTAAATGTACACTATTTGATCTCAACTAACGACGATAGAAAGCATCTGATTGAATTTTAATGAAAATCAACGATAGTATCTGCATAACATTATATAACGTTTAAAAGATTCTAAAATTTATTTCATTTGATTTTCAAATTTAAAAATCATTTTAAAATCATTAATTTCTAAAGACTTATAGCTGTATAGAAATATTTTCAAAAAATTCAAATTAAAACATACTATCCAGATAAATTATTTTTCATTAAAATGATCTGTGTAATACATCGACTAATACAATACGTCGGAGAACATTAGCATATATAAATATATATATATATATATATATATATATAAGTAAATCTACGTACGCTCAACATTACGTATTTTATATGCTTTTAAAATCTATTTACTTAATTTATCCATCTTACTTGTAATTTTTTACAATTTGAAATTTATCTTTAAACTTCAAATACCTATACCCTAATAACTATTTAGAATAGCTGAGTAATTAATTATAAGTTAATCAATAAGACTATTATTTCATAATTTTGGAAATAAATATCTGCGAAGGAATTAGATTTATAGTAACTAATTCAGTATGTATATGGTAATTGTACTATTCTTTCTCTTGTAAAAAAATTTTTCGAAAGAATATTTAATAGCTTTCTACTGTAAGTATCTCTAAAATTAATTTTGACAAATATATTTTTATAATATAATAATAATATTGTAAGAATATAATATTTTGCAAAAAATACAATTTACTTGTAAATTTTTAGAATTAAAAAAGTTATTACATTTACAAAGGCATTATTTTTTTTTTTTTGATAAAGAAATTTTATTTACGAAAACACTTGAGCAATAAGAAGCACCTTTTTTTTACAATAAATTCTGAAATATTCGCCTTAATGAATCAGCGCACAAAGTATTATAGCTCTTAAACGAGTATATAAGAGCCTTAACAACATAACTAATTATCTATATCATGCATACTTAACTTTCTAGCCAAAATTCATATGTAAACAGGATTGTCAATGCATAATTCTAATCGATATAATTACGTTTGATTTAGATGAGGATAATCCATGTAAACCGGTGTCACCAATTCCACCGCCTCCGCCATCCAAACCCCCGCCCAGTGATACGGAACTGGAACAACAATCACCCTACAACCACCAGCAGTATCAATCTCAAGAAGCTCAGCAGCATCAGGAGGGCAATAAAGCTGGATTCGCAGTGGCCGAAACGTGCGTTTGGATGAGCCAGAGGACTCCTAACAACAAGAACGCTTTTGCTCCGGATTACAGGATGCCCCCGCTCTACGGCGACGAGCAGACGACGCATCAGCAGCTCCAGCAGCAATCGGCAAATCTGCAGACGCACAGCAGCAAGTTTCCGGTAATTCGCAGATTGTGACAATCGAGGAAAGTATCGAGGTGTGGACTGTACAGGTTGGAACGCGGATTGCATATCGCGGCTTTCGCTCTCTCGCGTTCGACGTGACTTTCGTACGAGGTCACCTCGGCACCAACCAACAGCACCACCAGCTTCTGACCCTTTTAGCTTTGCCTTCGATACTAATGGGCTTTAACACGGCACCGTATAACCCCCCGAGACAGAGACCAGCGAGCTGTCTCACTTTAATCCTAATTGAACTTCTTTTTATAACGTTATAGAAATAATGAGCAAACTTATGTCAAATACAGATGGATTTTAACATTATTTTGCTCGGCGACCTCTCGGTACACCGAGAGACAACGCCAATTAATCTCCTAAGCGTAAGTGCTCGTAATAGTAAAAGAGAGGGAAACTCTGAGAAATATAACCGCGTCTTTATAATATTAATAAGAGAATAATTTCGTTAGCAGTAAAAAGTGTGATTATTTATCCTGGAATTTCGTTTCGTTAAACTTTTGTTTCTTCGTCAATATCGTTTAACCACAATTCATAGCCTGTCCATAGAAATATTTACAATATAAAAATTGAAAATCTAATTTATAGGCAATGCAGAATTGTAATGGCAGATGTGTAAACAAGTGTAAGACGTTTTGTCTATTAAGAAAAGCTTGCAAGCTCATTATAAATATAAAAGCTGTATGGGTATATTCTTAAGCTACAAATATATAATCATATTACTTTTGGAAAGGTTAGAAAAATTAAAGGTAGTTAAAAAAATATCGATTATCAAGCCCCTAAGCACTAACACACACTCACATTAATTTAAATACAATTTAACATGATAATATTTATGACGATTATTCCCATTTATCTATGTTTTTCCTATATTTTTAGAAATTTTGAAACGGAACAATTTCATCTGCTCGATGAATTTAGTAATTTGCTTAAAATATTGATGAAATTATTAGTTTTTAGGACTTAAAAGTCACAAATTATTACTTATAACAAAAGTATTTTCATAGTTTGAGGCTATGAAACTACACGATAAACAGACAATAGATTGAAAATAAAAGCTTCCACAAGAATAATGTATAAAATGTGCTATAAACTTGCAACTTTACAGTTAAAAGCTCATACCGCATGATTATGATGGCACCTTATCCGTTCAAATGATAAAACAAAAGAGTCATTTTTATAGAAATCCCTTTATTCGTAAGGAAAGCTCTGGCGATACTGTTGACTGTAGAAAGTGCGATTAGATTCGTTCGTTCATTTGGCAAACTCATAAAAGTTGAAAAACTTACGCTACACTTTCTTAATCAAATTGACTATGAACCAATATAACTAATTGAATTCGTGAATTGTAATATAATTATTTAGTCGGAAGGACTATAAGTTAATCTAACGTATTTTTATATTTTAATAGAAGCAGCGAAACTTAGATTAGCGTAACTTCTAATCGCTACCATTTAAGAACATTGGTCAATTATATTTTTCAATATCTCGATAATTGAATATAATCAAATATAAATTATTACATAAAAAAGAAACAAAAACAGTGAATACAATCGTAATCGATAATTATTATCATGATTCTCATAAAAGTCGAACGATTCATTTCCATTTAATCGTACTACAGCTAATTTCTTTCCATTTATTATTATTGTTATTGTTATTGCTGATGCCGCTACTCTCGGTTCTGCCTACTACAGTTTTTATGCTCGTTATTATTGTAGTTGTGTTAAATAGAAAAAAAAGAAAGAAAGAATAGAAAAAAAAGATGAGCGAGTCTATGGCATCCATTTTATTAAATACAACAAATATATAATAAAAATCTTTTCTAAAGGATTTTTGTTGGCCGAAGAAAAAAAAATTCTACCAAAAATTACTCATTCTTTTAATTCGTTTACTTGAAAATAATTTACAAATGCAAATAATATACAAATGAAATTAAATGTTTATAAACGTCATTTATATAATGTAAAATCTCTTGATAAAATTAAATTGAATATTTATACTCGATAATGATTGTATGTGAATTTTTTCCAAAATTAAGAAAAATCATCAAGAGTCATTGAGAAGATTTATTACATTAGCTTAACACGTTCGAAAATAATTATAAATCAATTTATTCATTTAATTATTATACACCAGATTTTACATACAATTAAATAGTAATCTTTATAAAACTTTAATTTTCCTTTCTCGAAACGATATATTAGATTATTCTCTACTTATACTATAACTTAGTTGTCCGATCCTCATTTCGTTATTAACAATTTTCTTCTTCACGAAAACAGTTTTTAAAGAATATTTAGAAATAATAAAGGATAATTTACGTGAAAAACTACGTTTTTATGAAATTTCTATTAATAGTTTTTGAAATTTTTATATAATATTTTTAATATTTTAAGATTTTTAAGCTTATATCCACGATTCACATCCTTTCTAAATGCACTTTTAGAAATATTAAATTCTTTGATATATTATTATAATAATTATATCGTTACAATTTTGTGTATAATATATTCATAAAAAATTTCTTATATTTAAATTATACATATAGATGCTATATTACATTGACAATTTAGTTTGTATTATATACAATCATTTTATTTCATTTATTTTAACTTTACCACGAACATTTTTTTATACGAATAATAAGATAATATATATATTTATTAGAGGTCTGTGTATAAACATGAAAATTAAAAAACTAAAGGCATCTTTTATTATGAAATTAAAATAATTGTAACTATTCATAAAATGAAGCATTTAAAACAAATTTTCCAACACCAAATACAACGCAGTGTAATAGCTAATAAAAATATGAATAATTTTTAATACTTTCAATGATCGATATACCACATACAAATAATTTATAACTCTATTAAATATTTAATAATGATGAATATAGATGTACACTTTTTTCTTTTTTTTTTTTTTTTTATGCATGCCATTTTCGTCTATTTATAAATAATTATTTTATATGTTCATATCTTCATAGTGCTAAAGATAAATGATGAACAGTGAATCGATTAATGATTGCACAATGTTTATCGTTTAACGTTATAATTTTTATGAATTTTACATTGCAAATAATTAAAAAATCAATCTCTTAGAATATTTTTATTACATTGAAAATGTAAAAAATTATACTTTGTAAAAAATTAACTTCGATATTTTTTTCATTTAAACTTTTTGTTTTCAACTAAAAAATATGCAATTTTATTAACATTTCAAATTTATAATATAGATAATTTAATTATCAAATTTAACGTTTAATCGAAATAATTGAATATTTAATATATTAATAAATAAATATGTAAACGTTATCTAAAAATTGACGATTCTTTGTCATTTTTTTTTCTTATGTCATTACGTATACACGTAAATACAATGATATTACGTCTTTTTGTAATCACTGATAATTTTTCCTCGTTTTATTATGATAAATTACAAAAATAAGTTAAATGTATTATAGTTAATATAACAATGAATTGCCAAATTGCTACGTTCCATTATAAAAACAAATTTCCATTAATAATACACCGAAACGATAAAATTATGTCGATAACTACAAATTTGTACACTTAATTATCTAACGATAGTATTTATTCGAATGAAATCGATGAAATTTATATTTCATAATTGTAATTAAAATCACGGATAAAGATATTTAAACTTTGAAATTACCAACTAATGGAAATATTGTTTTAATCTCTAAGTAATATTCTTAAATTAGGAAAATTCATACTTTTAAATAAATTGAAATGAACAAAAAAATAAATAAATAAATTAATAACATGTTAGAAATGAAATTATTATCAAAAAATATACACGTAAGATGTAGAAATACGAAAGCTAATGCACCTTTCGATCGTACAGCTTTTAATTCCGTAAAGGCGCGAAAGATTAATGAAAATCAAAAACCCACGGTGCGATGCGCTCACCTCACTGCCTTAACATGCATCAGCAACTTTCTCCTTATGACTGCGGCAGGCGTATGTATAGAGCTGGTCTACGAGAGTAGAAATAGCCGCGACATAATTAATTGAAACTAATAAAGAAAGACGAGTTTTTGAGTCTCTGTATCCGTAGGAAGTGACCTTATTGAGACGATCGAGCCGAAGGACAATTTGAAATCGAGTGCGCGAAAAGATGGAAGCTACCGGAGCTAGTGAAAGTTATGTATTTCGATCCACATTAAGATATATTCTCGATACACGTATACGTATACGCAGGCGTGTGAATTTGTGGTACCGGTAGCGCAAATGGCTCTCCCCAGTAAGGAACTAAATGAAAGAGACGTCGTCGTCGTCGGCTTTGCGCTATTCGGTTGGTCCGAGTCTTAACTTGGTCGGTTCATCGTACGGCAGCTGATGGCGACGCTGATGGTGGAAGTAGTGCTGTTGCTGCTGCTGCTGCTGCTGCTGCTGCTGCTGCTGCTGCTGCAACTACTACTACTCCTACCATCTTACACGCCTGCTCCCGATGGGAAATTTCTCAGCGGCAAACAAAGGTCTTCGCTAGACGGAACACACAAAGTACGGAGCACAGCTTGGACGCGTGTGTACCGTTTACCGGAAACAGCTCGCGAGCGCGCACAATATTACAATTTGAGCGTGCCTGTATCTTCTACATCACAAATTCTCGCTCTCTATCTCACTACATCTTCTTTATCCTTTCAAACTCGCCCACTTTTATCTTTAGCTTCAAAAAGTCTTCAATTTCTCTCACACTTTATTATCGAGAAATTATGCTCTCGTAACAGTTTCTCAGCTCAGAATTTGCTCAGAATTAAGATCGGTAATATAGCTAGTGCTTACTTATTTTATGTACAAATTTAATAGGGCTTATAAACAATTATAGATCGAGCAGGATCCGCGTACGTATTATCAACAGCAAATTAAAAAAAAAAAATATTAGAATTATCAGAATTGACAAGCTTTCGTGTCGTATTTTTCATTGGTCTCATAAACATTAGCATTATTAATCTTTTAGTTAATTTAGAGTTAGGATTTCGTACATTGAAAAACACTGTATCAATGTAAATAATGAAATATTGAAAAAAATATCGTGTGATCAATAATTATGATCAATTTTCATAATTGCTCGATTTAATATTTGTGTTGTATTCAGAGAAATAAATAATTTAATTAAGCTTGAAACTTTTTATTTTTTTCTTTTCAATATAAGTCATGACAATTATTCGACAGATACTCGTTATATATTATGAAGTATCTTTCCAATCAAATATACAACTCGTTGATTTATTTATTTAATTATTATTAACTTTCATTGAAACATGAAATATACAAAAATTTATTTAAAAAAATTTCAAAAAACATATTTTCAATTGATAAAAATTGCCTATGGACTAGTATTATAGAATTATTAATTTTAATAAATGAAGAACGAAAAAAGTGATTTAAAAATTATTTAAAATATATATATATATATATATATATATATATATATTTCACTGAAATTGCTACTATAACTAAAAGATTTGTTTTTAATTTAAATTATGTAATGTTTAATTAACCTGGCAAATCTTCGCACAACCTTCAAACATAATTTTCTCTGCTTTCAATTTTCAATTTATTGAAATTTAATCATTAATCCAAATACACTAAATACTTATTTATTACGTAAGAAACATACTATACGCATACCACATATTACATATATCGTTTATAACATTGTGTCGTATCTTATGAACTTATATTAATTTTATTAATTGATCTATTGATTAAAAGTACAAGTTAGTTAATATTAAAAATGCTCGTCTCATTAAATAATTTTATCGTTAAAATATTCGATTATTCAGAAAAACACTGATTTGAAAGAGTTAATTAATTTAATTTACATGTGACAATTAACAAATCCGTAAAAAATATTTATTATTATATAGAATATTGTACAATTATATATATATATACAATTATATATATATATATATATATATATATATATATATATATATATTTTAAATAATTTTTATTATATATATATATATATATATATATATATATATAACAAAATTTATGAATAAATAAAATAAATCGATCTAACTTTTTTATTCATTATATATGCAAAATAACAAACTTAATATTAATGCTAAATTAACATAACGGAATCATAACATTTTCTTACAATGTATTCGTACGAATATATATACTTATTATCGATCTTAATTTAATCTTCTAATAATTTTTGACATTAAATTACAATTAAAAAATTACCGTTAGAAAACATAATATTTATATTTTTCTCTTTCTTTCTTTCACGTTATCCATATAATCAATACATATCTATAGATTTATTGGATTATTCTATCTGAAATATTGCATTTTCAATTTTTAATTTACATGACAATTATAACTTGATGTACATCCATTAATATACTCGTCTCTAAATAGTTGAAAATCATTGCTTCTAATTTTTTAAAGCTTAAAGGAAACAATTTAATTAGATTGTAAAATAGGATAGAATATTTTCAGCCATATCGCTTGTAAATCGTAAGCTAGTCAATATATTTAATAACCATAATCATACAAAGTAATACAAAAACAATAAATATAGTCTATTAAATTAGAAATATCAAATCAAAATGAAAATTTATACCACAGTTATAAATGTTTTGTTCGCACTAATAACATTAAAATGATTTTTACTAAATGTATAAACTAACATTACCGAATCTTATATAACGTAAAATTATTAATATTTACGAATGTAAGCATTTCGATGAACGTGCAATTATTTTATAGATCGAGCGGGAAGTAGTATTATCTCTTGGTGAAAAGAATTCCAAGATTCCTATTTTACACGAGTATAAGCAAAAAACATCAGGAAAAGTAGCCATTGCGCCCGATGCACCAGTTAAACAACAAGCCTGGGTTCACGAGGTAAGTTGTATTCAATTTTAGAAAATCAGGTTAAATGGAGAGTAAGAACTAGTGTAGTGCGGGGATAATTTTCTCTTATACCTATAAGACTTTTAAGCATAATTCTATTATAAAACATCATCAAAACTCAAAACCGAATCATAATCGTAATTTTAATTCAATCAATGTTTCCACCCAAATATTATTAACATAAAAAAATATTAACATGAAAATTGTAATTAATGATTTTAATCATGAACTATCGTCACATCGTCTATTAACATTTATCTTTAAAAACTAATTTTAATAATTCTAAAACAAAAAAAAAAAACAAAAAAAAGAATAGATTTTGAATCAATTTTATTTTTTTAAATTTTTTGATCAATGAAACATGAATAGGTTTTCATATCGAATTCAAAGAAAAAATCTAAAATAATTTTTAAAACATTTCGTTCGATATGTTCAAATAAGTTTCCATACGAATATCGAAGCTTGCAAACTTTCTTTCTTTTTTTTTTTTTTTTTTTTCTAAAAGAAACAAAGTAAACATGAAAAGTAAAATAAACGATATCGAGCTCGAAAGAATATTCGTGTTAAATATTCTGTATTTGATAGCCATTATACGACAAAAAAAAAAAAAAAAAAAAAAAAAAAAAAAAAAAAGTAAAAAAAAAATATGAAAAATTTTTTTGCTAATTCGAGCAAAAAATGCTTCTTTTCTTCATTGCCTTCGAATATACAAATTATCGTTGATATTAAATTGTTTAATTACAATCTTTATATCTTTATAACACACTTTTCTTTAAAATCATTTGAATTTTTAATAATAATTATCTATAAAATTTACATTCAATTGTCAAGCCGAGTTCATATTTGTGAGATTATAAAAGCCAAAAATTATTAACATATACCTAACTTAGTAATGTTTGAAAGGTATGGATTGACTAATTTTACATTTAGCAGATGAGCTGCGATAAACTCAATAATTCAAACTTTTCACATTTCACTCTCACATAATAACACACAGTATCTAAAATGTCTTGCTATCTTATTTTATTCATTTCCTGGCAGAGTACGCTCCGCGTATCTTGTTATTCTTCGCACATACATCCTCTAACAACATCGAAAGCCATTCAATGTCGGATAACTTTAGTATATATGTATATTAGCGTACGTGGAAGATATAAAAATGCGCGTGTGTGCGTGTGTGTTTATAAATCTTTTATGCACGCCAATTATCCATTATTGTGTCCACTTTCTTCTATGCATTACTTTAACATTAAATTAATTTTTAATAAATATTATCAATTTTATAATTCATATTGATAAAGATTATGTAAATAAAACTATACTGAAGTTTTTGTCGATTTCTTATATTTTCAATTGGCAAATGAATTATAGTCTAATTGAGGAAAAAAACTTTCAACAAAATTTTTTTTACTATATTTAATTGATTGGAAATAGCGAAATAATACTTGTTTTTTTTTGTTTATTTTTTTTTTTTGATAAAATTTTAATGGTACTTATATTTTCATAGTATTTCAAATTTCTTTTTGATTTATTAGTTAAATACCTTAGCAAATACATATGGCAATATTCCGTTTATTTATGAATTCGATTACATTTATCTATTTTTTGCTTTTATATAAAATTCTACTCACTATCTTATATTTAAATGGACATTAACACAAAGAAGAAGAAGAAGAAGAAGAAGAAGAAGAAAAAACCATTATTAACAATGTTGTTTAAGCGTTATTTTTAATAAATAAAAATTTTTATTTGACCAAATACCAAATTAAATAGATATTATGCTCAGTATCAACGGCATTACTTAATATAAATGTAATTTGAATATTAAAATTTTAAATATAAATGAATATGTAATTTGAAATAATTTATACTGACTTATCCTTTTCAATATTTATATTCAATACTTATGCACCTCTCTCTCTCTCTCTCTCTCTCTCTACCTTTCGCAATTATTTTATTTTTAATATTATAATTAAATGTTAATATAAAAATTTGCATTAATTGATTCAATGCCTCGATGCACGTCGATGCCCGCTCTTGGCTATATGTAAGGTAAATGACTTGGAATCGAATTGTTAATGAGTTTCTGTTTGTTACTACTTTTTTCTTTTTCTTTTTTTCTTTCTTTTTTTTTTTTTTTTTTTTTTTTTTTTTTTTTTTTTTTTTTTTTTTTTTTTTTTTAATATAGTAATTTATATTTATTATACTAGGCAACTCAAATACAAGATTTAAAACTGGATGCACGGGGCAAATCTTTCCAGACCTCTGATAATTACTCGTAAGTTCATTTACAATTGATGATAGAATAGTAATTTGTAAAAGTCTTAAAATATTTTAGTGCATCGAGTGGAGTTTCTATGAGTAAATCATTAAAATTAGATGAGGAAAAGACGAAATCGTTATCCAGAACATATCATACGATCAAAGATATGATATCTAGTCGATTCGGCCCTAATAGAAAAGATGTCGATCCAGAATCTGAGGCAAGTTTAAACAACGTAACGGAAGATCTAAGAAAATCTAGTAGAAGTATCAATGAGAGCGAAAGTAAAAAACAAGAGTCTTCGTACGTAACATCTCGAAGTCAAGATCTTTCGATCAGCATGCAACAGTATTCGAAAAACAGCTACGGTAACAGCCTAGTAATATAATTCGAAAACATTTTTCAATTATTACGTCACTTAATTTAATTACACATTTAATTATTCGATAGGTCAATATGGATCCTCGTATAATTATCAAAGTGGCCAACAGAACGTACCTCTACCGGGACAACTGCAATCATCTAATCAACATCAACCGACATTACCCAGTGGTCAAAGTGCTCAACTCCACGTAACGCATCATACACCGCCTGGCGGCATACAAACAGTCCATCAAACACAAATCACTTCGTTTGCGCAAACCACAGCTGCCGTACAACATTCTAATAGAGATTATATTGTACAAAGTCCCGGTGGGATGATAAATCAGGTGATACATCAGACTCCTCATCAAGCACCTAGTCATAATCAAGTACGTAATAATTAATCGAGCTTCTTTTATCCTTTCATTGCATTATTCATATTTATTTATAGAATCAAGTTGCGATGCAAATGAAACAGTCGATGCAGCAATCACAACAAACATCTGGAATAATGCAGAACACCGGTCCGAATTGTCAAAGTCCGCAGCAAATGCTTCATCAGAACCAACATCATTTGAGCCCCCGTTTGACTCAACAACACGCTCAAAATATACATCAACGTCAACTTATTCAACAAATTCAACAACAACAACAGCAACAACAGCAACAACAGCAGCAGCAGCAGCAGCAGCAGCAGCAGCAGCAGCAGCAACAAAATTCGGTTGGCTTACCAAATCCACAAAATGCATTGCGTAATCAACATCCACATTTTAATAATGGTAATGGAGCGGTAATATCAAATTACCAGCATTATCAGCAAAATAGGCAATCGATGTCGAGATCACAAATCGATTTGCCCAGCACGTCGAGACAATTAACGCAAGATCTCAGAATTCCTAGTCAAGAAGTGTATTATCATTACAACCAAAATAGAACAAACAGATATGGTACGCCTCAAATATATTCTAGGAATGATAATGCTAATCATCAAGACAATGAATTTCAAAGAAGAAACTCAGGAAAGGGTATAGGAAAAGCCCTTTCGCAGCCACAGCTATCGTATGACGATGGGAAAACTGATAATAATTGCGTCGAGGGGACTAATCCAACATTACTAAATCATACATCAGAATCTGTAGATGACAAGGAAAAGTATGAAATCTCAGTGGATGAACCGCAAATAGATCACTTTAGTAGAAATAGCTCGAGAAGAGCTACCGTAGAAGAATACAGACCCGAAACAAGTTTTGGCATTCGTTCAGAAGAAACTCGATCGTCACAAAAAGATTATCAACGAGATCGGGCACCGGATGGACAAGAATCAACGGGAACATCGATTCAAAAACGTATCGAAGAGCTTCGTAAAAAGAGTGAAATTGAAATTTGTCAAGATCCAAGAATAGTGCACAAAAATGGGGCCAAAGTAGATGGTCAAAAGTGGGATGAAAAATGTCAAGCGATAGATAATATTAAAAAGCCTGTAATGGGAATTGAGGAATCAAATACGGCAAAAAGGGAGCCTCTATTATCGTATAACACGAGTAATAAAGAAGCCGGAATTTCTCAACGGAAAGATTGCTTGGAACACGGCATAGGGAAATTAAAAATACAACATCAAGGATCTGGTTCGGATTATGATAAAGCTGGACAAAGTTCTTCTAATGTCGATTCGGGCAGAGGATCGGCTGTTTATTCTAGTGGAAGAAGATTACCAGCTGAAGATTCCAATCACGGGCAAGGTTCGTCGATGTAGAACTTTCTTTTTAATAATAATCAAATATCTACAAAACATATAGGCATATACAGGCATATATTGTTGTAATGTACATAGATACACTTTATAGTAAAAATTGAATTAATTTCTATCTATATTTTTATAGAGTTTGTATTAAATCAGCTTTTCCAATTAAATATTAGCTATATTAGATAATAAAGAATATATTAGAAATAATTCTTGATTTTATGTTTAATAAAACAACGAAGTAATGATATTCTTCAATTATATCTATTTCAATTAGATTCGGTACGTACGCTAACACAAAAAAAAAACACGCGCGCGCTCACACAAACACACACCCACACACACACACACACACACACACACACACACATAATAATCATTCGACATAAAAATTACATTTATTGATCGGTAAAAGAAAATTCTAATAATATTATTATATTAATATCATGATAAATATATTCAAGAATACGAAGCGAAAGACGAAAGAGCGCTAAAACATTTTACAGTGACTAAAGATTTTTACAATTCCCTCGATACTTATTCTATGTACATTGCAGTACAAGATGCTGAGTGGGTCGACATTGTCGAGTCGGAGTTACGAAGTATTTTAGAACCAAAAGATACAGCACCAATAATGCATTCAACCTTCTCGGAAAGCGTTTCGTCTGTGACGCCACCGCTACCACCGCTCACACCCCAAGAGAGTCCGAGGGCCTCAAGGAATCGATTCTCAACGAGGTAAAAGTCACTTTGAACAGTCGATCCACACCCCCCCCCCCCCCCAAATACCCCGCTATGTTATTTGTGTTATTTTACTCGCTTAATCTTCCACTATTTTATTTGCGTTCACTTGTAAATACGAATTTACACTTTCAGGTGTACTTTCACATCTTTTGTTTTTAGAAAGACAAAATAGGCAAACAAAAGTAACGATAAAAATTGAATATATTTTGTTTGATACAATTTTTAACGTAATTTCAATTGGTTTTTATCATTTCATTCATACGTGTATAATGAAAACGAGTTTTCATAGTCGTCGTTGGTTTTTCATTTATTTTTATGCAAATTGGTAAACCTCCAGCACTTTATATTTCAAATTATTAAGATAATTATTTTATCTTATTCTTTCTACAACTGTTTTTTAAGACAATAATCATAAAATGTTTGAAGGAAATTTTAAGGAAAAATTGAGATAATTACTTTCAATATGATATTATTATTGATATGAAAGTCGAATTTTCGTGATGGATTATGAAATTATGAACTATAACGAGTGAAATGGAATAAAATTAAATTATCAAAATCAACAATATTGCCAAGTGAACTCTAATTTTCGAAATAATTTTCATAGGGACCTAAGTAAATTATTGGAGACGAATTTTCGATAAATACTTATATAAATTTAAAATCTTCGATTAACAATATGTAGAAATTTGCACGAAACTATACGATCGTCGGTGCAAGATTGCCTAAAGATTATCATAAATGTTTTTATAGAGACGTTAACACCAATCTTACTCATACTATCAGTAAGATAATATTAAGAAGAAAAAAAAAAAAAAAACAAGAAAAATTTCTATTTTCTCATGAAAAGTATATTTTTAGATGCGATGTGTACAATGTTAAAAAACGGTCTGATAATTGTCAATTTTGTATTGTGAGATAGATTGAATTAATTATAATTATAAATACAAAAATTTTATAGAATAATCAAGAAAATAAATATAAATATGGCCTTTGTTGTCGTTATATTTTTCTCTAATATTACTCGTTCATAAAATTTATAACCTCGAAGGTAATGTTTAGGATAAATTATAAAATGATTTATCCATTAAATTAAACCGTATAATGACGAAAATTTACAAAATTAATCATAAAAATAAAACCATTATTTAATCGATTACAGTTTGCCTTATGGAATGAAACCGAATTATGAAGAATATGTTAAAGGCTCGGAAAAAAGAAATTATCAAAGTAGCAACAAACATCGTAGTGTACTTACTCCAAAAAAGGAATCTACTAAAAAATTTAGTCATCGTAAGTGACAAAAAAAAAAAATAAACAAAAAGATTAAAATTCTAAAAATACGTTAAAATTCAGTTTATCATTAGAAACGTAAATATTTTTTCAAATAAATTGCACGTCATTTAAAGCCAGTGAAAAAATTCGTATCATATAACCATTTTTTTTTTTTTTTTTTTTGTTTGTTTGTTTGTTTTTTTTTTTCTTTTTTTGTTTTTCTTTATTGTTTTTAAATTAAGTAGCAAATAAAAAGTACGTATTTCAAATATTCCTTAAAATATAATAACAAGATCATTAAACACTAATGGATATTAAATAATAAGAGTCAATAGTGACAAGCAAATGTTGCATTCGTTATAAAAAGTTTTTGGGTTCGAAGCTGGAGAACTAACATCAACGACAACTGCGCTCGATTTGGATTCAATGTTGGATAGAAGCGATTCGGATTTAAGTACAAATGATGCTCGAACTATTAGAAAACAACTGGAAGGCCTTGAGAACATGTATAGTGAAGTATGCGAATAAATAAATTAATGTATTTATTTATTAAATTTTTATATAACAATTTTGCTGGTATAATTGATCGATTTATTATATATAATTAAATTGTGCTCCTAGCGCCTAGCGCCTAATGTAAAATGTAGTTAGCTAATTTTAATAAAGATAATCAAATTAAAATTGAAGAGTTAAAAACACATAATCATAATATACCTTTCCATATTCTTAAGGTTTTGAAGCTGCTCGGTGGTAATACGAAAAAACGAAGAAAAACGCGTGGTTTAGCAAGTTACGGATCAGTGTCGTCATTGCCAACGTCGTCGGTATCGTCTCGACCCATAATACGTCATCATGACAAAAGACGATCCCATAATGTCGAAGATAGAATGAAGAAAGTTAAAGATATTAAGGTGAGTTAACGAATGCAAATTTTGCACATGAAATTTTAATTGTATATTTATTACTCCAGCTACTTACTAGATTTTAATTTACAAAAAATATAATTTATAAAAATTGTACGACAACGCAGATAGGCAATAACAATTTTGTATTTAAATTATAATTAATTTTAAAATCTTAGTAATGTTATGTTTTTAATCTATTTAATTTATGAACAACCATTAATTTATTTATCGATCAATTTTAGTATCTCAGATTTAAAAATAAAAAGCATATACTACTCGATATAGTAAGATTTTTAATTTTTATATTATTTTCTAATTAAAAATGAATTATATTAATATGCTGCTTATATTTTTTAGAGTATTAATAAGCGTTTTCAGCGATTAGAATCCCATGTGGTTACACTTGCACGCTCAGTGGCTCATTTAAGTTCCGAAATGAGAACACAACATTTAATGATACAGGTAAAGAATCATAATACCTTTTCGTATTAATAATTTAACGTCGAGATGTATCGAAAACTGTACAAAAAATAAAATAAAATAAAAGATAAAAAAAGAAAAAGATAAGAAAAAACATTTTTTATATATATATTACTTTTATAAGTACAATGGTTTTAGGAAATGGAAAATATTAGAGGCGAAATAGCGGCGCTTCGAACCCAAACAAATATGGCAATGGTACGATCTCAGTCTCAACCAGTAATTAAGGATTCTGAGTTACCGGCCCTCTCAAATCCATCTCGAGTTAAAAAACTAACAAAGTTTTTCGGCACCGAGCCACCACTGATCAGACTCTTTCTTCGAGAACTTGGCTACGAAGTACGATATTCGACTACATTCACTCTATATTCTTTTTTTTCTTTTTTACCAAAATTATATATAAAACCATCACCAAATACGCATAATCAAAGCTCACGTTGTAATAAGAGAGTAATTAAAGTTGTTTAAAACAATCGTTTAAAAATTAATTACAATTATTTCAAAATGCAGCTGTTGATATTTTTGAAAAATACGAGAAAATTTTGTTGTCTTGTTTGACTTTTATCCATTTTTCAAGACATTTGGTCTTAAAGTAAATAGTTCCTTATTAATAGAAAGATATTAATAAATATAAATTATATTAAATGTATATTAAACACCAAGTTTATGCTTTAAAAAAAAAAAAAAAAAAAAAAAAAAAAAAAAAAAAAAAAAAAAAAAAAAAAAAACCACCCAAACGGAAAGAAATTTTTAAATAATCACAACAATATTGGACTAGTATTAACTGCCAATAGTATTATAATGCATTATTAATTATACGCAATTGACACAACTTCTTTATGAATATTTACAGAAATATGCCAATGCCTTTGAAAAAGAAAGAGTAGGAATGGTGGAACTACCATACTTGAGCGAAGAAAGACTGCAAAAGATGGGTGTGCCTCTAGGACCACGACTTCGAATCCTCCAGGAGGCTAGGATATCAGTCTGCAAAGATCCTGTATATGTAGTCTAAAGGACGAACCAGTCACTTGATTATCTTATTGTAAAGCGCGTTTGGTTCGTCATCGGCTCTTGAACGAGAAGTGCGACCATCCACCGCATCTCTCAAAAAACTTTTGCCAAAGAGAGAAACAGAGCTATGTTTAAAGAGTGCAGTTAATTCGCCCTAAGCTAATCGCACAACTAGTGATTTTTTATTATTCCAAGTAATAAGAGAACCCTGATCGGTACTTGGATACACACATCCTAATAATGAAATCCGCTTATTCTTGCTCATTTATCTTTTCTTGTATGTATATTCCGTATAATCGTGGCATACGTACTTTACGTATCTTCTTATATATTTTTTATTTGTTCATTTTCGTTTATATTGATATGCTGCTACCATACTTAGCACTTTGAATCTAGCAAGAGGATAGGCTGTTTTTTTTTCTCGCTCTCTCTCCCTCTCTCAATCAAGTATTATATCAGCCTTAAAGAATTTATATTAACTTAAGCTGTAAATTAGATTAATATATATCACTTTATTTGAGTCTATTTATAATTATGCATCAAATAGTTTTAGTTTTTACTTCCTATTTTATCCGTTTTACGTTTTTAATAATGAACAGATGTTTAAATGCTGCTAAAAGTTCATTTTTTAATTATTTAATTATTTATTTATCGTATATTTACGAATATATATATATATATATATATATATATATATATATATATATATATATATATACATATATATGTTTATTTACGTTTCTAAATATTTTTATCCTTTAAAATCAGTTCATGTAGAGTTGAACTCGTAAAATTATCAAAGTTAATAGTAAATTTTATACCGATGAAACATCGATGAAATTATGATTTTTATTTTCATTAATGCTTTAAATAAATCATTATTTAGTCGCAACGAAAAATTCTAGTCCTACATCGTTGTATAATTCGTTTATAATAAAAGAAATCTATTTTGAAATCATTTTGAGTACGATGAGTACATGTGAAAATGAAATTCGTATAATATACAAAGAGGAAATATTACAATAAAAATTATAGAATAATTTCAATATTTTAATAGTCATTTCATTTTCATAATCTACTTAATGAGAAATTTTTGTTTTGGACTGACGTATTTAAACTGAGCAAAGAACATTCGTTTCATCTACGGCAGATTTGATAAACTTTGAACAATGAAATGTTTACCTTAGCTACTCTTTTGTGCATAAAAACATTCGTTCCTTTCATTCAATCTGTAAGCACATTCGATGAAATAATGAATGATTTATTGTATATACGTATGTAAATATAATAATTACGCATCTTATTTATCATTGCTGAACAAATGTCATTACGTAAAAAATTATAAAAACTTCTTCCGTATATGACTGTATATTTTTTGTAAGTTCCTTCATACGTTTTTAATCGACAGGATAAAGAATTTAATCTTAATGTATATTAATAAATTGTAATAACGAAAACCTTTAAATATTAATCTAATATCGCTTATAAAGCGAATAAGTAATTGCAACATAAGAAATAGAAAACCATACCAACGATGGTATAAATTTTTTGTTCAAGCCAATACAGAGTAATAATTGTAAGAAAAGATTTTGTATTTAAATTAAGAAATGAAATAAATAACAAATTATCATCATAAGCTTTTAACAACATTACAGGAACCGTCGATTTTCACAGTCTGATAATATTCATGTGATAATCAACAACATTTATAGTTGATTTGATAAATAGCTACAGAATTGTAAAATGAGAAGAATACAGGTTATTGATCGATTTAATATTATTAATTGTAAGTTTTACATTTAAACAAACGAATGTTGAGTATATTGAATGCTTGAGAAATAAGGTAAAGTAAAAACATAATGCGAATCGATAACAATCAAGAAAAATCTAAAAGTTATTCTTCTAGCTTCCTATGAATTTAAAGTCTCTTTGTCGAATTGGATAATCATCAGTTTACAAGTGAAATAATACGGTCAAACCTGATAAATTACTGCATTTGTTAACGGTTATAATTTCAAAGCCAAACATTCTTTCGAAACTCTTCTGCGTTCTGCGTACACAAACGACGATTACTACACACTGCCTAAAAACCATTTAATTTCCATTGTCTAGAGTTCATTTACATATACGTAATATTATTCCGACTTCAGCATTTAATTAAAAGGTAAAGATAAAAAATTTTACATTAAAAATAGTTTCCAATCAGTATAAGATTAAGTGAATTATTTAACTTGTCGTATAAATGCGGTAAAATTTCAAAAAAGTTCTGAAAAATTGCATCGAAATTTTAGTAAATCAAAATAAATTAAATATATAAAATTAAATATCTACTTTTCTTTTAAATCTTTTAAAAGCATCAAAATATAATTCTTTCGGTAAAACTTTAATATCACAACTTTTTATAAAAAATTTTTAATCCTCAATCATATTATACAATACATTTCATTGTTATTTTACAGTAACAATTACATGAAAATATTATTAATAAATTTATCGTAGTATTTAGCTTTTATGCTATTTTACATTATATTTCAACCCAGTCGGCATAAAACGTGAGTTCATCCACAAAAGAACTAAAGGGCGAGAGAAGAAGGGAGGGTGGGAAATAAAGAGAGATAAAGAGAGAGTATGTAAGCGCCTCTTTATTAGGAAATGCATAATTTAACAATTGTGTCCAATTATTTTTCTAGTGGGCTCGTGTTTGAGTGGTCGCATGTAATATGTCACGTTTATTGACGTGAAAGCCATAAGAAAGGAACGTAAGAAGTTACTTGAAGAAGTTATTTGCTTAATTAATATATATATATATATATATATATATATGTATATATGTATGTATGTAATAATATTTTATAATATAGGTAATAGATAAAATAAAGTTTTAAAGTCATTTTACATACTGCACTATTTGACTATTCACAGGCAATTATAAACATTTCATGTTTTAATAATAGATTTTTATTAAATTATGATATTAGATTCGCACTTCTACCGGTATTTCTTTACCGCTAATGCAATGTGAAATTGAGTTTTATGAAACAGTAAAATCACCTCTCAATAGTTTGATATTACTAACGGATTTTCGCATTAAAAGATACTGAACATACTGATGAATATTAATAATTTTCATTAGTGATCATTTCCTCGAATTTTATGAGGTTATTATTATTATTATTATTATTATTATTATTGTTGTTATTATTATTATTATTATTATTATTATTATCATTATCATTATCATTATCATTATTATTATTATTATTATTATTATCCATCACCTCCATGAATGTTTAGTTTTTGTGTCAATGTGAATGATTCGCCAGAATAAATGTTTGTTTCTTTAAAGATATCGCTACAAGGCCATCTTTCATCCGAAATTACAATACTCTGTAAAAAAATATTTTAACATGTTTATTGAAGGGGAAAAAGACATTTTCATTTAATATACTTCGAAAATACCATAAAAATGTTATAATATTGTTAAGGTATTATGTTCATTCTTTTCTGATTGATTTATTCAATCGATATTTTAAGTAACTAAGAAAAGCCTTCACTTGATATATTTGGCAATTTAAAAATTTTAAATCTTTTGTATTGATCCAATTATTTCCTGGACTTTTATATCTGTCTTATATCATGAAAATACAGTATTATTCAGACAAATATTTAAATACTTTAAATATACGCTCGACGAGGAAAACTTAAAAATTAGAAACTTGAAACATTTTCAATTAACTGAGCATAGGTTGCACAATAGCAAAATTTGAATAATTTAAAACTAATCAATAATTTTATCTGTGAAAATAATATAGATTTATCATACAATGAAGTGTGAAATCGATAAATTTGACTTGTATGTTTTCAATTCGAAAAAGATAAAAAAAAATTACAACTGAAAAACTTACTAACTCAATATGCATTAATTAAACGATATATTTTTGTTGTGACATTGTGTTTCAAATACGTTTTCATGGTTACATAAGAGATATCTGTGCTAAAGTATAAAATACCTTTGACAATACAATGATTGAGTAAAACAAGCAGATAAGAAATATTCACAGATTACATAGAAATAACTATGTTGTTTAGATAGACTGCGACAATAATTTGCTATATAAATTATAGAATAATTTCCGTGATTTTTCTATGCTTTAATTTAATAAATGTTATTGATAACAATTTTATTTTCGTAATAAAAAATGGGGGGGGGGGTAGGGAACCG